TAACTTCCCTCCAACTCAGTTTCCTTATGCTTGAAATGGGCTTAGTCACACTTACCCCTCTGGGTTGTATTAATGTAAAACCCTTAGCACAGTGCCTGATTATGAGTGAGGGCTTATTGAACTATAGCAATCATCACCAATGTCCACTAGACCAGTGTAAGAGATGCTTAATTCTCTCTCACATTCCGCTCCCTAGAAAACAGATGGTTCTTAACAAAGGCAGGGAAGAGACATTAGCTCTTTAAGTATCACTGGTCAGGTTTTGACTGGGTCAGGGGAAAGAGAAAGGCAAAAGAGGGGCAGGACTCAGCCCTAGAAGGGCCCTTGGTGCCTAAGCCAGGGAGGGAGGGATTCCCTTCAGGTGAGGAGTGAGTGAACTCATTTGTTTGTTGTTGTTTAGTTGCATAAGTTGTGTCTGACTATTTTGTGACCCTATGGACTGTAGCCCACCAGGCTCCTCTGTCCATGGGATTTCCCAGGCAAGAATACTGGAGTGGGTTGCCACTTTCTTCTCCAGGGGATCTTACCGACCCAGGGATCGAACCTGCGTCTCCTGTACAAACCCACCTCCTCCCAAGTTGCCTTGGCTCTATACAGCTTTGAGGATAACTACTACAAGCATTGCACTGGCCAGCAGGCTCAAAATCCCCTTGACATGGAGCAGATTTGTTCATATTTCTTGGAAAGATAAGGCTTGAGAGACAAAAGTTCTGCATCACTTAGTGCTATTATTCACTGACAGTAACAGAGCCAGTGTTGGTAGGATAAGGGGCCACATGCAATAGGGGAAGGAGGAAGAAGAGTGGCTGGCCCAGACCCACTTCTAAAGTTTACCCATAAATCTGCCTCATAGCTACAGGCAGCCTGACATGACAGAAAGAGTGCAAACAGAGGCTAGAAAACCCAGGTTTGAGTCTGCAAGGGCTATAGTTTGAGTATTCATGTTTTACTACAAACATGCACTGGAGAATCACAGTGGTTTTTCCCTTAGGTTGTAGCAAGGACCACCGGAGAGAATGGGAAAGAAAACATTTTGAATACTCCAGGCAAACATTTTAATTTTTATTAAAAAAATAAAAATTATTATTCACTGAGTGCAAGGGCTACCTCTGTTTGGTGAATAACAGTGATTTCCTTCATTTGGACCCCCTGTGCTCACACATCTGCTTTTGACTTTCCTTATAATATTCCCTGATAATATCCCTGGTGGCTCAGTTGGTAAAGAATTTACCTGCAACACAGGAGACCCGGGTTCAATCCCTGGGTCAGGAAGATTCCCTGGAGGAGGAAATGGCCATCCACTCCAGTGTTCTTGTCTGGGAAATCCCATGGACAGAGGAGCTGGGCGGCCCACAGTCCATGGTGTCACAAAGGGTCAGACACAGCTGAGCGACTAAATCACATAAACCACAAAGTATTCCTCATATCACTAGAGATACCCTGGGTCATGCTGCTGCTGCTGCTGCTGCTGCTAAGTTGATTCACTCGTGTCCGACTCTTTTGCGACCCCATGGACTGCAGCCTACCAGGCTCCTCCGTCCTTGGGATTTTCCAGGCATGAGTATTGGAGTGGGTTGCCTTCTCCACCCTGGATCATGGGCAATCCTAAAACACTACTGAGGGTCAACCTTTATGCATTTTCTAAACTTTTAAATTATTTATTTTCATCCGGTTGTACTGAGTCTTAGTTGTGGCATGCTGGATCTAGTTCCCTGACCAGGGGTGGAACCCAGGCTCCCCTGTATTGGGAGTGCAGAGTCTTAACCACTGGACCACCAGGGAAGTCCCAACTTTTATGCCTTTAAATGTCAGGATAATGTCACCAATTTCAAGGCAGTGAAAAGACAGCAGGGAAGATCCATTTTCTTTGTCTACATCAGGGTTTCTCAACCTGGGGTGGATAATTCTTTGTTGGGCTTTGTAGGCTGTTCAGCAGCATCCCCAGCTGCTACCCACTAGACACCAGTAGCACTACCCCACGTGGTCATAACCCAAAGAGTCTCCAGAGATTGCCAAATTGGGAGTCGGGGTGGGGTGGGGCTTACAACATCACCCCCAGTTGAGAACCAGTAGATCGCATAAACAAAGGACACATGCACCAGTAATTTGGGGCAGAGATATATCAGTCTGCTGGCTGATATTTTGTTGCTGCAGAAAGATTTCAGATGAGTAGATCCCCTGGAGAAGGAAATGGCAACCCTCTCCAGTATTCTTGCCTGGAGCATTCCACGTACAGTGGAGTCTGGCGGGCTACAGTTCACAGGTGCAAAGAGTCAGACTCGACTGAGCCACGACACAAGCGTGAGAGCAGGAAGTACAGAGGACATCTGACGGCGCCTCTCATGTTCCCAGGTGAACTGTCACCTCCACAGCCACTGACCACCTCCACAGTTGTCATCTGGGGGGGCCTGAGGGATGGAACAAAAGGCCTCCCTTGGATCAGAAGTCAATGTTTCCAACCTCACCAGCAGGACTTCCGTGGTGGCTCTGACGATCAAGAATCCACCTGCAGTGCAGGAGACCTGGGTTCAATCCCAGGGTTGGGATTCATGTGTCCACATCCTCCGCTGGTGACAAGGGCCTGCCCTGCAGAGGAAACCGGTGATGGAAAGCTCCCTCTCTTCTCAAGAATCCTGGTTTTACTAATACATCCCCAAACTTCATGCCAGCCAAGGGGACTCTTCACCGTAAAGAAATAAAAGCCATCCAAGGGTGTGTCAGTAGCCTCCAAATCTGATATTTTTTTTTTTTCTCATTTGCTAAAGCTTTTCAAAATCTGTTTTGTTTTTTTTTTTTTCATTTTTATGGACCATAAAAAATCTCAGTGAGCAAGAGCCCATGAGAAATCCAACCAATGGAAGCTTTGATTTTTCCTCACCTTCTGTGGAATCATTCTGCTAAAACAGCAAAGCTGTTTTATTAAACAAAGCTGAGTTTTTAAAGAAATAAGTGCAAAAAAGACTCTTGGTTCTGTTCTAGGCACTTCGGAACAGCTGAAAGAAGGGGGGGATTGGACCATCATGTTGCTCCTTGCCAGGCCTCAGCTAACCTCCAGTCCTTGAGGGAGTGAAAAACGGGGGTAAACACTGCCTGGGAACTTTCCAGAGCTGAAGATGATGCCAGAAAATTCCCAAACAGGGCCTCTCCTTTTTCTCCTCCCACCCCACAGGCTGTCTCCTGCCTTTGCACAGAATCACTCAAACCAAACAAATCAGGAGCTATGATGTAGGCAGCGACTACGCTTCCGGACAAATACAGATGAATACAAAGGGGAAAAGAGGAACCTTCAACAAAGGTTACAGTCTGCTCTTTGGACTCACCTGCTAAATGTTACCCATCAGCAAAGATTAAAATAAAAGCCTGCCACATTCCAGGCAGACACGGTTCTCCAGGAGCAGCTCAGCCTGGAAGTCTGCTGGCAGTTCAGCAGCATGGTCTGGTCATTCCTAAGTACTCTCTAGAAGGCAGAGTTGCAGGTCAAGTGAAAGCATGCTGGCTCCAGCCCTTGACAAAGCCCCACAGCCAGGGAGCAGGTGTAGCCTGCCAAAAACAAACAAAAACTTCTCCCAAACAACAACACACAGTTAACACCCACAGCCTGTCAACACCAATTAGCCTGCCCGACAAGCAGAAGCCTATTAAGACCAGCACTCCAACCCAGCCAAGGTCCCCTGCAAGCAGAAACTGTCATCTCCAGGCTTCCCTCAAGGAAGTGACCTTCAGTGGAAACCCACCACAGCCCGCACAGCCCTCAGATCCCCTGTACTTTTAGGGGGTCTTGCTGGGTGCAATTATGACTTTCCTGGGCTCTAGGCACTTTGGTTCCTTCCTCCACAATAATATTAAAATTTATTTGTGATACAACTTTCAGTACTTTGATACCTGGTTTTTTAATGTTTTAGGCAAAATTGAATAGATTTTCGAGGGCCTGAAAATACTTTTCAATATTTTCTTTTTTTTTTTCCTTCGAAGAGTAATTAAACATTTTCCTGGGCCCCCAAAAGTTTCTCAGATCCTTGGCACTGTGCCCACAATGTCTAATGAAGTTAGCTCTGATTCAGTAGATAACTTGCAATTAAAAAAAAAATACCGTTACCCACAGCCTTAGCCTTTCTAAAGTCCATTCTGTTGATAAAATATGGACATAATACACCTGGAAGTTGTTTCATCACTTAAAGAATGATTCCTTACAAAGGGAGATGCTGAGAAGCTTAAAAAAAAAAATCAAGTCACCACACAAGATAGATTTTCTTCAATATTTTATTTATATAGAAATACTTAAAAAATGAAGTAGCACCATTACTTAAGTTTTACCTTTATTATGTAGAACTTTAAATGTCAGAAAAATAAAACTCTTGATACAATTTCAAATCTTGTCTCAGCAAATATAATATTAGTATTTGACCATGAGGTTAAAGGCCCTTTATCATAAAATAAAATATACTTTGTTTTTTTAAACTTTGCTCAGTAAAGTACATTTAAGCTCAAGTAACGTCACCTACATATACATAAACAAGTGGTAAACAAATGTATTAAAATAGAAATACTAAAACTATAGTGGTGCAACAGAATTTTTGTAACTTGCACTGAATTCTATTTATACAAATGTTAGAAAGCATCAACAATTCCTTTTGACATGTTTATACATTTCCGTTTTTTTGTAATAATATAGAATAAAATATGCTTTATATCACTGAATAGAAAATATGCTGGGTGAAGCAGTTCTAGAAGATTTGTCTGAACCTATAAAATCTCCATCCCAACAGAATACTGTTCAAAACATTACACATTTTATGGTTTGTAATTCTGTCACAATTGTGTGATTATTAAAAAATAATACAGTGTTCTTTGCCATAAGGCCATACTAAAATAAAAAGATTTAACCCAGCTACAAAAAAGTTCACTGAACTTAAATTAAAATACTTGTAAACATCTTTGCAATATGAAATATAATTTTTCAAGTCAAAAAAGAATAAAATACTTCAATCTGTATTAATGCAATTTCTCTTTAAAACTTTTAAACGTTTTTTTAATATATAAGAGATATGTTACAGTTTCTTTAACTTTAATAAAGCTGCAGTATCCTGGTATTACAGGAACTCCTGGCCCTTCTACGAACATTCAAAAAGGATCCACTGTGTTCTATAATAAGAATGGTAGGAACCCAGCCACAAAGGGGAACACACAGAAACAGTCCACACACATCCCATAGCACTATTATTATCCTCTTCATCATAATAATTATTGTTCATTTTTTTCCCTACTTTTAAGAAAATGGAAAACTTGTGGGGTTGTCTTCTTTTGGAAGCTTCCTATTAAGTACAGTGTAAAAACTATCATTACTAGAATGTCGCCGTTCCTATTATTTATAGAGCATGCATTTCAGGTGGTTTGGAGGTTTCCCAGGCTACAGTACTCGGATGCTGATATCCTGGCAAGTTCCTTTGTTTCAAAATTAAAATTAAAAAAAAAATGAGCGGATACTACAGCTTTCCAAGTTCCTCTTCGGATCTCAGAGTGTGAGCAGGAGGGCGGGGAGGAGAAGGTGGGACACCTCGAGTTAGGCAGAGAGGCATCGCCAGGGATTGAGGACAGAAGGAAAGGGGGGCGGGGGTCCTCCTTCGCCCTGCGGTGCGCGCAAGCGCGCGCTGCCTTCACGAAAAGATGCGGATGGCCTGAGTGACCGCGGTGTGGCAGACCGGGCACTCGGGCTCGCTCTTCTCGCAGATGCGGTTAGCGCACTCCATGCAGAAGAGGTTGTGGCCGCAGGGCACCAGTGCGGCGATGACTTCGCTCTCAAAGCACACGGAGCAATCGCGGCTGCCCTTACGCCGCAACCCGGAGGAGGAGGAGGAGGAAGAGGACGAGCTGGAGGACGAGCTGGACGAGGACGAGGAGCCCGACGCGTCCGACGACGAAGGCTGAAGGCCCGCCGGCAGCTGCGCCCCCAGCCCATTGGCATAGGCGGCGTAGGCCAGGCCCCCTCCGCCAGGGTCGCTGCGCACACGACGAGCCAGGTGGTGCTCACCCGCCCCCGGGGCCATGTGCAAGGGCGGGGACAGACGCGGGCAGCTGGCGCCTGGGTGCAGCCGGCGGTGTACCGGCAGCCCCAGGTTGGCGCTGGAGGGCGCGCTGGCTCCGCCCCCGGGAAAGACCACCGAGGAGGACGAAGCAGCGGACGTAGATGCGGAGGAGGAGCAGGAAGAGGAAGCGGGAGCTGCAGGTCCGCCTCCCGGGGACCGCTCGAACTGGGCCCAGAGAAGGGGCGCCCCGGGCGGTGGAGCGGGAGCCGGGTCAAAGGCTGGCGGAAGCTCGGGGCAGCCGTCGGGGGAAGGCACCGAAGCCTCGCCCGCCGCAGCCGCAGCGTAGGTGTATCCATTGCCGTTGTTGTTGTTTCCGTTGTGAGCAAAGCTGAGCGCGGGGCTGGGGGGGCTGTAGTCCGCCAGGCGCGGGGTGGTGGCTGCGCTGCCGCTGGTGCCCGCGCCGAAGTAAGAGTCTGTGGAGGCGCTGCCGAGCGAGCTGGAGCTGTCGTTGCGGTAGCTGGAGAAGGGCTTGCGGCCCGGAGTGGGCGTGATGCTGGGGGTGGGCTTGCTCCAGAGGCTGCCTGGGCCGGACCCGCCGGACCCATGGTGCAGATCGAAGCCCACATCCGTGCCGTTGGCGTGGAAATCGTTCTCGTCGGTGAGCTCAATGATGCCGCCGGTGCGCAGGGCGATGTGGGCCTCGATCTCCTCGCGGGCGCGGTCCACGTTCTCCGGCATGCCCGTCACCTCGAACACCGGCTCCTTGTCGCGGCTGGGCGTCACGATGTACGTATGCGTCTGCTGCTGGATGCGCTTGATCGTGGCGCCTTTGGGCCCCACCACGAGCCCCACCACGCGATAGGGCACGCGCACCTGGATGGTGGTCTGCCCTGGCAGGTTAGGCGGCCCGGGCACTGCGCCGTTCAGCGCCGTGTTCTTATTGCGCGAGGCGCGGATCATGGAGAAGTGCTCGGCGGCGGAGATGATCTCCCTCCGGGCCATGGCCACATCCTCCTTCCTGCCCGTCACAACAAAGACAGGCTCCTCCCCGCGAACTGGGGTCTTGATATAAGTGTTGGTCTTTGCCCGCAGCGCTTTGATTTTACAACCTGGGAGTCCGGGTGCAGGGGAGGGAGTGGGAGAGACAGACAGACACGCCCATTAACCGCGGAGACCTGCGACTGCCCACACCGGGCAGGTGGAAGACAGAACGCGCGATGGGCGGAAAGGGGGCGGCTCCCTCAGAGACCCCCGGGCCGCGCCACCGGGCTGAGAAGCCGGTCCCATCCGCGAGGCGCTAGAGGACCGGCCCACTGGCTGCCCAGCCCTCCCCCAGTGACTGCAGTCAAATCCGAGAATCCCAGAAAAAAGTCAGCTGGGGAGATGCCGCTGGGACCCAGCGGGACGCGCCGTCCGCCCCGAAGACGCGGCTGAGGGAGTCGGGAAAGACGACCAAAAGCCGGGATCCTCCGGCGCGGGGGCCCTGGTGGGAAGTCGGGGGGGTGGGGAGCAGTCCCGGGACCCATTGTTCCTGCTCGGGGCTCCATTCCGCTTTGCAGAAATCCAGAACCCTCCTCCCAACCGAGGCTCACTCCTCCTCCTCCCCCCTCCCCAAGGGCCGCTCGGAGGCCCCCTCCCCCAAGCATCTATTTAAATTCTGTTTCCCCGGAGTGGGCTGGGTGGGGGGCGCCAGGGGAGAAGGCGGTGATTTTCTCAGGAGAGAGTGTCTCCCGCCGTGGCCGCGGCGCAGCTCTGGGAGACAGCCTGCCTGCACTTTCTTTGTCTGGGGCGCCGGCCCATCGCGCGGCTCTGCCTTCCTCCTCAAGGCTCCCCGGCACCGCGGGTCTCCCAGCCTCCCTCTCCCGCCCTCCCCGAGGGGCGGTGGCCCGAGACCCTCTTTCCTGCATCCGCCCATCCCCAGCCGGACCCACCTTGCCGCCCCACGATCTCGGCGACATGCTCGGAACTGGGCACTGGCACGCACTCGGTCATGTTCACGCTCTTCTTTCGCGGCTCGCTGTCGTACAGAGACGCGCCCTCGTCACTGTCCAGCCCCAGCAGGGAGAGCTGGTCGAGTGCGAGCTGCAGGGCTCTTTGGTCATCCAGGGTCTCTCCGCCGCCTCCTCCTCCCCCGCCGCCGCCGCCGCCCCCTCCGCCGCCGCTGCCGTTGCGCTCCAGGTCTGCAAACAGCGAGCTGGGCATCTCTCGGCCGTGCGCGCCGCGCCCCCGCCGGCCCTGGGCTCGGCGGCGAGAAGCTTCGGCTACAAAGGGCAGCCGGGAAGCGAGTGTTCAGGGGCGGGGAGGCCGGCCGGCTGCAGACAGCTCCGTGGCTCTTTCCTCGGCTCCGGCAGGAGTGGATCGCTCCTGGCGGTCCGCGCCGGGCAGTGGCTGCGGGAGCCGCCGCCTGGGTCCCCACCCCAGATCTGCTGGCGGGTGGGGTGGGGGCAGAGCTCGAGCGGCAGCCGCGCGTGCCCCCCGAGTGCCCGGCTGGCTGGCCACAATGCCGAGCGAGAAGCGAGCAGGCGAGCGACAGCAGCGTTTCTTTAAGGAGCCCCTCCCCATCCTCCTCTCCTCCCCGCCTCTTGACTGAGCCTCTGCAGCCAGACGGCTCCGGAGGGGGACGAGGGAGGCGCAACGTCACCGGCGGGAGCTGACACTACAATGCTACTGACACTATCGCTGGGGGAGGCGATTGGCGCGCGCCGGCCCGGGGGCGGGCGGAGGCCGCAGGCTGAGCAAGCTGAGAGCTAGCGCCCCACACCCCCGCGCTCGCCGCAGCCCGCCCCGTCCGCCTCCCGCCCGCGCCCCTCCCCCGCCGCCGCTAACGCCTCTCTTTGTTGTCTAATGCGGGACCGGCCGGCCCGGGACACTTGCCTGCACCTCTCAGCCGAGGACAGTCACTATCCCCAGGTCTCCTCCCTCGCCAGACTGAGAAAAGGAAACGCGCCCAACTCTGATGCCAGGGCCCCAGCTCCAAGAGAGCGGTCCTTAGAAAGTCCCGTTAGCGTCCCCAAATAAAGCACCCCTAGAGTCAACGATGCCTCCGGGAGAAAGGTCTATTGTCTGCCCCCCAAAAGACAGACCGATCCCTCGGGCACGAAAGACAGGTCTCGAGATCCTTGTGTGCACTGGCCAAGTGGCCCCCGGCCGGGGCTGCCCACCTGCACACGAGCGCAGGAGACACAAAGGCATACGCCCGCTCGCATCCCCACTCGTGAGCGCGCGCGCCCGCAATTCTGTCCCCTTGGGCGGCAATTCGCCCAACTGGCCCTGAAACTGCGGATCAGAAAGCCAGAAACAGGCTGCAGTGCCGACCTGGCCCTCCCGGCCTCCGGCGACTTCTGGAATGCACCGCGCAGAGGTCCTGCCCGTGCCCGGCGTGCGGGCAGAGACCCCGCGGGCGCTGACACGCGCACGAGCGCCGCGCCGCCACCGCGGGGACGCCAGTCATACCTCCAGCGGGCGCGGGCGCGGGTGTGCGCGCCCACCGCTCTCCGGTCCCTCCCAGCCCCACGGTCGGGCATGCGCAGTGCGCGCGACGAGCGGGCGGGCCCTTTAAGGCTAGCGCGGCGGAGCTCGCCCGCCCCTCCCGCGGCCCCGCCCCAACGGGAGGTGTGTGCTCGCAGCCCGGCCGCTCTTTGTGCGCTACTCCGGGTGGGGGTGGCGGCGGAGGGAGGGTGCGATGGGACCGGCCGGCGGGGACGGCGAGCTGCGCCCCCTCCCGGATCTCCCCGGGGCCGCCTCCGAGCGCAAGGGAGAAGAAAGGAGGCTTTGAGGGGCGGGCCGGAACGGGGCGCGATGCCCGGCCGCCCCGCTGCTCTGTCCCTCTCCGCCCGAGTCCCCCCTCCGCCGCCAGCCCGAGCGGATGCCCCCGGGTCTTGGCGCGCGCGCTCCCCTCTTTTGTTCTGGGCTCCGCCTGGGTCGCCGGGCCCCTTGCTCCTGACCCCGGCCGTTCCGCAGAGCGGCCGGGGCAGTGAATCGCGAGAATGGCCAGCGTCCGCGCAGCGGGGCTCCTGATGAAGACAATGAGGCCATGTGGCCGAACCCACAGACGGGTTTACTCCGGAGTCCTCGCGGTGCCGCGGGGCGATCTCGGGGCTCGAAGGCAGAGGCTCCCAAAGTGCCCCCTTTGTGACCCAGGGACGAGTGAGGGAGAGCCCTGGTTGGGCCTCGAATCTTTTTAATCCATAAAATAGGGGAAATCAGACAGCCCTCCCCACCTCGTGGGTTCTGGAAATTAGATGTGACAACAGACGGGAGCGCGCCTAGTAGGCAGTTAGACACACGCTAGACTGCTGAGAACGCGAAGGTGTTTTTGCTGCTTCGCTCACCTGGAGCTGTCTTGGCGAAGAGGTGCTGATTATTTCCTTAGGGAAATGAGACTTGGAAGCCACTTGCAGTGGTTATTTCCGCAGGATGTTTACATCAGCTTCCTGGTGTGTGTGTTTCTTCAAAGGGGAAGCTTGGTGATGGGGTGGGGATCAGGATGGGGGTGCTGAGCCTTCCCAGAGTGTCACCACCTAGACCCCCAGTAGAGAATTCTTCTAGTTTTTAACCTAGTTTTTGTACTCAAGCCCTACCAATTTGAAAGCCAGGAGAGAGTGTCCTTGAAGATTCCTGAGGGCTGAGAGTAAAGGGTCCTGGCTAGGGGAGGGGGTGGCACAGAGAAGGCTCAGCTTGGAGCCCCTCACTAAAGGTCTGTAAACACCAAAGCAGACAGGAGAAGCCCTCCTGTCAAAGGCCTCAGCATTTGCATCTTGCCAACACAATCTACTTTTGGCCTCTCATCTCAGTTTCTAGGAGTTTCATACACTCCCGATCAGGCCAACTGAAGTTTCTTTTTTCAAATAACAGACTTGATGAAGGTCAAATTTTTGCTGGACTTCCATGGCTGATGAGGCTTATGCCCAGGTAGATGAAGACCCTCCCCCCACCTGTTTCCTAGGCAACAATCCTGTCATACATCCTCCCCTTCACACTGAAAGCAGTGTGAAGCTTTCAGATGGTCAGTTCAGAAACTGGTCTGGAGATATGAATGCTTCCAAGTCCCTGAGTCTTCCCAGAAAGGTGAATACACTTTGTGGATGTGGAAGTGACCCAGGTAATATCTTCTTTCCTTACTAAATCAGGAAGCCAGGAACTCCACCTGCCTGTTGTGCAAATGCTCCATGAAATCTCAGCCCCCATGAAGGATAAGCTAAAACTCTGACCACAGGAGTTCATGGAAAGCTGCCAATCCCGAGGTGCCCATGAACTGCCACACAGCTCAGGTCACCCCCCACCGACCAGAATTCTTCGGTTAAAATGTGTGCAAAGATAGCACATTTTTGGAAGATACCCATGAAATCTAAGGGCCTCCAGAGAGTAGGAGTCATATGATCCTGGTGGCCCGAGCTGGGATGGTTGACAGATCTGGTTCCCAGTCCAGTTCTGCCCCAATGTTTCTTGCCTACAAAAAGAAGCTAGTATCCAACTTTCCATCTACTTCCCGAGAAGGAGGGGGTTAGTTTAGAGGGTAGAAAATGACAGTGAAAAATGATTCATTGTACGTTGCAAAGTCCTAAGCAGAAGTATTGGAAAATGGGTGTTTTCCCCACAGCCACTTCTTACCTCCTTATATTTATTAATAATATTGACTAGTCAGGGTATCTTCTGACACTTGAATGCTATTATAAAAGTAACAATCTGGAAATTTTCATTCTCATTTAATGGCTTTTATAAGCCAAGACATCTTAGAGCTTGCAAGTCTAGTTCTGTTTTAAATAGATGATAACACCCAACCCCAAAGTTTCTGGTTAGACTTTCCCAGGCTCCTTCAGGACCCCAGAGCTTAACTACTTTTCCTGACACAGGACATGTTCCCTAAGGACATCCCCGATGTGGCCGTATTATTTTTTGTTGTTGTTAGCACAAGAGAGAAACTTGCAGAATGTGATCTGGTAAGACAATAGGGAAATTCAGTTGTCATAAGAAAAGGTAAAGTCACGCAAAAACAAGATTAGCAAGAGACCGCCCTATTCTCCAGAAGCTCCAAACTGTTTTGCACACATCTTGCTTCCCCTTGGCAAACTAATTAGCTGGCAAAAGAAACTAAAATCCTCATGGGAACACAAGTGCACTTTCAATCAATTCATTCAACATTATCAAGCAGCTACATACTTTATTATAGGTGCAGAGTAAAGTGCTGAAGCTACAGAAATGAACAAGGCAGAGGAATCCTTTCCCTTGGACCCCCTGCGTGCGTGGTACATGTGAGCTAAGTCGCTTCAGTTGTGTCCGACTCTGTGTGACCCTAGGGACTACAGTCTGCCAGGCTTTTCTGTCCATGGGATTCTCCAGGCAAGAATATTGGAGCGGATGGCCATTTCCTTCTCCAGGGGATCTTCCCAACCCAGGGATCAAACCCGTGTCTTATGTCTACTTGCATTAGCAGGTGGGTTCTTTACCACTAGTGCCACCTGTGAACCCCTCCCTGGGACACCAGTCCAAATCCAGTTCACAACAGAGGTAAGTGTCCAGATGGTAGTGAATCTGCCAAAGGTCCCAGGAAGACTTCATAGTGAACATTTGAGCTGCGCTTTCAAAGGATGAGGTGGGTGAATTAATTGAAACTAGTGGGTAGTATAGCATATGATAGGATCTCAATAAGTGTTTATTAAGTGAATGAGTGAACCAGATTGAAAAGGCCTAAGGCATAATTTTCTTAATTATATGGATGAATACCAGTGTCTGGGAAATGGCTCAGACAACTTCAGCCACAACTACATGATTCTGAATAATAATATTCACAGGTAATAATCATTAAGCATTTATTATGTGCCTGGCACTTTTACCAAATGCTTTATAATGCAATATCTTAATGGGCTTCCCAGGTGGCTCAGTGGTAAAGAATCCACCTGCCAATGCAGGAGATGTGGGGTTGCTCTCTGGGTTGGGAAGAGCCCTTGGAGAAGGAAATGGCAACCCACTCCAGTATTCCTGGCAGGCTACAGTCCATGGGGTCGCAAGAATTGGACACGACCTAGCAACTAAACCACCACCACAACCAGTATTCTTGCCTGGGAAATCCCATGGACAGAGGAGCCTGGTGGGCTGCAGTCCGTGGGTTCACTAACTGTTGGACACAACTGAGCAACTAAACACACACACACACACACACACACACACACACACACAGGTGCAGCTTAAGCCTCTGGAGCCTTCCCTTACACAGGCTGTTCCTCAATCTGAGAGGTCAGTTCAGTTCAGTCGCTCAGTGGTGTCTGACTTTTCACAACCCCATGGACCACAGCACACCAGGCCTCCCTGTCCATCACCAACTCCCAGAGCCTACTCAAACTCATCTCCATTGAGTCAGTGATGCCATCCAACCATCTCATCCTCTGTCATCCCCTTTTCCTCCTGCCCTCAATCGTTCCCAGCATCAGGGTCTTTTCAAATGAGTTAGCTCTTCTCATCAGGTGGCCAAAGTATTGGAGTTTCAGCTTCAGCGTCAGCCCTTGCAATGAACACTCAGGACTGATTTCCTTTAGGATGGACAGGTTGGATCTCCTTGCAGTCCAAGGGACTCTCAAGAGTCTT